CACTGCTCCAGGGCCTGTCGTGTGTGTGCAGGACTTAAAATCCTGAATTTTGCCTGAAACTCTCAGACTGAAGAAGTCTCTTGGAGGAGAGACGAAACGTTTCATTAGAGAAGAACCCGTCCAGAAGACCTATACAATTTTTTTTATTTTTGATTTTTTACCTGGATTACTGAGATGCATCAGGACACTTCATAAAGAACACGTTATAAAATGACTTGATTTTTCCTCTAACAGCTTATATAGATCTATATTCATCACCTCCTACTGAAGGTCAATAACATTTTCTGTGTGATGTCACGAATCACTGGATAAATTTGAACAAAACTCAAATAATTGTGCTTTTAGGGTGAACACAGTTGAAAAACTGCCACAGCTAACCAGTCTAAACCCACATAAAAAGTGGCTAGATAAGATTTGTTGTGCTGAAAGTTTCATATTCTGATGTAATTTATAGTTTGATCAAAAATAAATGAAAGGCTGCAGCTCAGTCCTTTCATCATAAACTGTAAGGCAGCAGGTGATACAAAGCTCAGCCTTTAACCTCCTTTTATTCTGTTTAGTAAACGGAGAGTAAAGCCATGGAACAAGCTCACACACAGTCACAAAAGGTGGAGAGATCTTTTATTTTACATAAAAAGGGTGCAAATTTGACTTTTCCCTTTTGGTGTGGAGGGAATAAAAATTGATTTGTGTCAGGTTCATGTGGGAGACACTGTATTATATAAATCCATGAAAAAAAAAGAACAGTCATCTCAGATAAAAAGGATTTTTTTTATCTTCCTGCAAATTAAAACTATGAAACCATAAAAACAAAAGAAAAAAAAGTGGGTCCTTCATTCTTGAAGCCCTTGACTAACTCATCATTCAAATACAATGTTGAAGTGACATTCATATTTCAACACAACAACATTTATTTACAGTTTAAGGATTTCTCTTAAATCAGAGCTCTAAAAAATGCAGAGGGGAGGATAGATTCTTGGAGCTGTACAATTTGATTTCCACAGTCGGAGAAAACAAACAAACAAACAAACAAAAAAAATCTGAGAATACTTCTTTTATAGAAATTCCCAACAAAGACCACAACTGTGAACTCTGTACAATTTACAGTTCAAATAATCATCACAATATTGCAGTAATATTATCACCCTACACCTCTCCCTCAAAGAAAAATATACAGTAAATCAAACAATTCTACAGTACAGCAACAAGGGGAAAAAGTGCCAGAGAACCCAAAAAGACTTTTAAAAAAAGCTGTTCAGTCACACTTCAGCGGTCCTTTGCTTTACACAGCTGACACACACACACACACACACACACACACACACACACACACACACCTGACTGAAATGAAGTGGAATGAAATGTGTGGCTAAAAGACTTTAAATGAGGAGTGAAGTCACATGGTCCCACTGATCCAACAGCCTGAGGGACCACTTGCCCTCTCCAGGTAAGACATGCAGATACACATGGGCCAGAGTGCTCCTATACCACTCTGTGACGCTCACACTTAAAAGTAAATACGTCAGAGTAATAGATCTATCTATATAGACCAGCTCAGCCAGAAGCTACAGAACGAGACGAGTCGCCACAAACCCAACAAGCTCGCTCCAGAAGAGATGGTTGTTCTCTCTGTGGGGGGAGGGTTCTGACTGGTAAAAGCAGGAGACAAACAGGAAGAGCTCTTTAAACACTTTCAGTGACGATCTGCAACACTGCCTGGTACGGCACTGAGCCGTGCTGAACAAAACCAGACCCGACGTGTCCAGGACACCAGGTGGAGTGGAGAAAAACACAAAAACATGCAACATTCATCTCGAGAGTTTCCTGGCACGGGTAAAAGGCATGGGCTTAGCAGTAGTCTTAGAAATGGCACTGGGATGGGGGGATGGGGCGGGGGGGCATCAAAGGCTATTTCATCTTGATATCCATGTGTCCGGCTGACCCTGATGCTCCGTGTTTGATTAGAAGTCTTCAAGACGACTCAAACAAACATCGACCTGCAGCTCTGGGACAACTCCACCCTGGTTTGGTCATTTCCACCTGCTGCACTAGAAGTGGCTAAAATGAACATCTGTCATTCAAACAGCCTGTCAACCCATCATTCCCCTCAAAACTGTGGAATTACTCTGAACAGAACAACACACAAAACAAAAGATCCTATAGATTTTCAATTCAAGTACTTTTGATAACACAATAACTTAGGCCTCAAAGAAACCAACATGTTGAGGGCAGGGAGGAAAACAACAAGTCAAAAGGCTATACAGTGTAAATACACACAAGAAGCAGTTTTATATACTGACTCACTGCACGTATAAGACATTCTAATGAAGGTCCACAAAACACCAAATCTGTGTGTGTGTGTGTGTGGAGGTAAAAGGGATGGAGTGGATAATGGCACCAAAGCAACCACACAAACAGCAGGTGAAGATGAAGCGTGCTCCCTGCTCTCTACAGGGACGGCCTGGAACACGAGGCAACATAAAATAAAGTCAAAAGCACATTAAAGTCCAGTTTTAAGAAGGCAGGGTCTCATTAGGGACAGCTGGGGTGAACAAATGTAGTGCAGTAATGATCAAGCTTTTTTTGTTTACCCTCTCTTCCCCACCCCAAAATAACAACAACAAAAACATGGCTAATTGGAACGTGGGGGGGACCTTTGCATCACATTCACATTAACACAGAAAGCAGGCTCCAGATGAAGGGGTTTTGTTTGAAGGCAGACCCCCCCCCCCCACACACACACACACACACTGATGCTTCTGCTCGTTAGAAAAACTCTTGTGGGGGTGGGGGGTGTATTCACATGTAGGAGGAGGGGGACATCTCAAACAGCTACACACACCTGTCATTTGGCTTCTTGTGGGGTACGTGTAAATATGTTTGGGGAGGGATGCTGCAAACAGTCTGGACTTTGGATTATTTTATGACCCCCCCACCCCCCAAAATACATACAAACACGCACACACTCCACACACAACTGGGCTGCTAAACGTGTTGTCCTGGGGACAAAATGCAGTGGTCATTCGTTGGTTGAGCAGGGTTAAGGCGTTGGACAGACGTGTCCAAAAAGTCCACTTATTAAGATGAAGGACATTTAGACATTTAAGACCATCCTAATCGTTTATAAACCCACTTCGTTTTGGTCTCGTCTTTTTCAAATAGTCAATTTTAACTTCCTTCCCATGCACATATTCTAAAATGCTCCAAAGCAATTTATTTTTCTGTTCATACATTCARTGTGTAAAATTAAGAATTAGTAAGAAAACTAGTGGCAACCAAGTGATAAATAGCATAAATATCTTTTTTTTTGTTTTTGTTTGTTTGTTTCCCAGCCCCGTCTACAAGTGTCAGAATGCTGCTCATTTTCACAAAGACAACAGGAGCAGAAGTACAGGAGAGTAAAAAGAGAACGTAGTGTGTTTCATGGTTACAGGTCGGGCTGTGATGAAGCAGAAATAATCCTCCAGGAGCACAGTGTGGGAGACGCCGCCGGTCGGCCCGGATCAAAGGCTCAAATCACAGCGCCGCCGTTGACCTCTGCGAGGGAGAAAAACAACAACAAAACAAACAAACAAAAAAAAAAGTGCAGGGGGGCAGACGGGTGGTCTGTGTGTGAGCAGAGGGCGGGTCCACGCCTCGCCTTCTCACGTGGTCAGGTTTACATTCAGCCCTGCGTCAGGAACGACCCAGAGAGGCGTCGTGTCTAAACGAGTCGGCACGTCAACAGGCAACGAGACGGGATGTGAGATCCACGAGGAGGGAAGTGAGTAAAGAACAAATAAACAACAACAACAACAAAAAAAAAAACGGCACTGAACAGGTTGAAGGTGGGCAAGACTCCACGGGAAGATCTGTCACTTCCTAGAGGAGACACTGGAACAAAAAAAAAAAAAGATGAGGAAAAAAAGTTCTGGTTGTGGAGAAGAAAAAAACTTTCCTCAGCCAAACTTTTTCAAGACGGCTCCTAGTTTGGTTGACTGACGGGTAAAACGTCCTCACAGAATTCAGCGGAGGAGGAGAAAATAAAATTCAAAGGACGCCCGTCAAAATGACACGAGTCTTTTCCAACTCAAAGCCTTTTCTCCTGGTCCCAGAGAACAACTCAGTCCAGATCTTTCAGCTGAGACCCCCTCTGTACCTCTGAAAGAGGCCGTCTTGATTTCTGAAACCACAGTCGACTGAGCCCAACGTGAGGAACTTCTCAGTCTGGTGCAGGAGCGAGGGGGGCGGGGTCATCAATTGTGCCTCGGCGTGTTCTTCTTTCGTTTTCGCCTGAAGAAACAGCAGCACCTGYAGACGGAGAGCCACGTTAAACTGAGCGGTAAAGATAAAAACAACTGTGGCTGTGAAACCTGAGGGGCTGACACCATCTAAAAGACAAAACATTTATACATTTATTACCAAGAACACGACCGTCCACCCTGTGTTTGTGCCTTTTTCCATTAATTCATTAAACAAGCAGCAGTGCACACAGATAGGACAAGACACGGTGAGCCTCTACACTTAATAAAAACATAAAGACAAGAAAAAAACGCTGCGGATCGAGACATAGGACAGTGACTGGGTCGTCCCCGAATAATTATTAATAATAAATGTCATTTGTAAATTATTCAAGAATGTTTTTTAGGTAGATATGTAAATAAAAAGGACAAAGCCTCAGTTTCAGGACACCGTAGCAAATTCACATTAAATTATTTCCCCCCTTTTTTTAAAGTGACATCACTTCCCAGGTGTATTTTTATTATACTTTTTACATAAGATTCGATTTAGTAATCTTATAAAGGGGAATAAAGTGAAAATGAATTTCTGAGGTTCCTGGCACTTTAATACCAGTGAGAGTCTAGTTGAAATTAAGCAGCTCCACTGGAGCCTGGGCTGGTCCACTCCCTGTCCCATGAGTATGATGTGGACAAGCAGAGAGGGACTCACCACAGGTTGAGCATTTTCACGCAGCTACAGAAGAAGAGGAGAGAGGAAAGAGTGTCAAAGAGAAAAGAAGGACAGATTAATACAGTAAGACTAAGTGGGTGGGAYGGGGCACATGCCAAGCTAACGTGCACACAAACACAACAAACACAAACAGGTGGACACACAGAAGGAAAGCTGAGATTAACAGAAAAACAATTAGGAGGAAAGAAACAACAAAAAAAAAAAAGAGAATTTTAGTGCTCTAGTTAACCAGAAAACAACATTAACTCTCCATTTTCTAAAACACTGATCTGTAGAAGCTTTTCAGAACTCAGATGTTTAAATAAATACATTTTCCTTTTCTCAGCCGTGTTAAACATTTGATGTCAGACTGAAGATCCTCAAAAAAACAAAACAAAATTGACTCAAAAATAACAGGAAAACTGGAACTTCCAAGTCTGAGTGTTTTTCCTTATATTTTATAAACTACCCAAGATTTCTGAGATGCTTTTAGGTTTGTTTTGTTGGCTCAGAGTGTGAATTAAAAATAAATCTCTCATCATTCATGGATGTGAACAGCGTGACAAAGCATGGTGGACTTTCAGAACTGCACAGAGTTCTCTCACTGAAGAAACACTTCACTCCAGTTCTGCTCTCTTCAATGGGTCCAGTTTATAATCACAACTAGCTTGTAGCTAAATTAACTACTTTCAACACACTTCATAATATAAAGCTATTAAAATGAAAATGACAACTCAATAATAAATATTTGTCATTGCCAGGATGGGTCACAAATGTTAGTGTGCACTCTTGATTAGGCATTAATATAGAAATCACTATTTATTTAAGTAAAATCAGCCATCATTTCAGTTTTAAGACGATTAAAACGCATTGATACACATTTTATCTTATCGTAGCTCTCCAATGAAAGGTGTCTAAAGATTTTACACCAAGTATTTACTTCTCTTCATGCCAAAACTAGGATTTATAAATTGTTCAGGCAGACTGAACTTTACTTTTTTTTCTTAAAACTGAGAACATTGTAGTTTAATTCAGAGAAAAGTAAATCATGGTTGTATTTAAATTATATAAGGTGAACCAGACCATGTCTATAAAAGATACAGATCAGAGTAAAACATTYAAAATAGAGCATTAAGACCTGCAGTGTGAACGAAACTTTAGTCCCACTTACTGATCGATGAGAGCGAATTTAAAGACAGGATCAGGCTGAGCAACAGTATTTTTATGGACTGTTTGTCTGCCAGTTTACTGTTGGTTACACATTCTAACCTGCGTTGGAATCTGTTCAAAAACATCAGCTTTTGTCCTTAATAAAAAGTAAAAAATAAAAATTTGAGAAATAAAAGAGACAGGAAGCATCACTGCAGCTGAAGCTTTGGGGGCTGCTCTGGAGAGAAAGGCAGAGTTCAGAGACAGAGGGAGGGAGAGAGGGGGAGGAGAAGCAACAGATGAGACATGGATGAGAGGATGAGGGGGTGAATGACACATACTTGGCCTCGTCGACCACTTCCACCTCTGCCTGAGTTGTTATCGGAGCGTTGGAATGAGCCAGAGGATCGTCTGCATTCAGCTCCCCGTTTGTTGAACTGACCACCTGCAGCACAGAGGGGTGTCACTTCAGACTGAACCCAACCAACCAACCAACCAACCAACCAATCAATCAATCAATCCATCCTGTGGTGCCGACGAGTTCTTTCTCCACAAAGAAATCTACTTCCTCTAGTTTACAGAGAAAAGTCTGAGAATCACAGGACAAAAACAACCAGGTTAGCTTGGAATATTAGAGGAACTGGCTGTAGAGATGTATATTTTATTTACTCCAAATCAGGGTACAGCTAAAGTTAATTACCTCATTACTAAATAACTTGAGAAAATCCATCCATCAAACATTTTAATTCCTGATGCCTGTTATCATTAACATATATTTATAAAGATCAGTAATTCTAATATAACAAGTTATAAAAAATGAGCTCATTCCTAGAATATAGTTAGATTTGTTTGTACACATTTAACCTTCATATGATTCTTGCCATCCTGCAGATAAAAGTGATGCAACTGAAAAAAAGTAAAAATATCTGCAAAAAAAAAAGCTATAAAAGCAAACGTACGTTTTTATTAAACAGCAAATGGATACAGCTAAAGAGCAACCTTAAAGTATTAAAGTAAAAGTCTGAGGTTATCTAAAACTCTACTTCTTCAGATCAGGCTTCATTTTAGCTGATGTTGGAGAAGCCAGTCTTGCAGTAAATAAACTGGAAGCTATTAGTGCTTTTTCTAATTTACAGTCAATAATTTCACTAAAAGATAAAGAAAATTGGAACTTCCTTATCAGATTTATAGATATTCTGAAGGTTTTATAAACCCTGAGGGACTTTCTCACAAGATCATCAAAAGAAAAAAAAATCTGTCAACCTTACAGAATTGTTTGGTAGTAATGTGATATACAGAATGTTAATGTGTTTTTAGTTTCTAACTGAGCAGCTTATCTACTTTCAATTATTTGACATTTAATTATTTTACATGTCAAAAAAGTCAACTATTCCCACTGTTTGTTGTTACTGCTCCAAACGACTACATATGTAAATAGTCATTTATCCCATCCTCTCCATGTTATACTGCTTACTCCTAGAGAGCTCAACAAAATGCATTTAACTACTAAAACAAAATGGATTTTGCATGATAATATTTATGCACAACCAGTTGCAACATTATTGAATTTCTAAATCTGATGCATCTTTACTGCACGTGAATAAAAAATATGTAAGAATTATTTAGCACAAAGCTTTGTTTAATGTTTAAGTTTATGGCTAATCTTGAATCCAATTTGAATGTTTCTGCTGACAAACCACTGAAATGATTCACATCCTGTACATTCATCACTACTGCAGACATCAACATAACACTCATTTATTTACATCTGACTCTTTTCTGAGTAAACCTGTAAAACCTTTCAGTCACGGTGAGCAATCAAAATAAAACAATGTCGTTCCTGTGTGCAGAGCAACCATTACCAGCATGCATTTGGCTTTTTGAACCAGTTACCCCTGCCATGCAAAAGTCACTGGGATTTTCAAGAGTGTCTCACAGTGTGGGACCAGAAATCAAAGCACAACCGCTACTAAAGCCAAAAATCACGCCGTCAACATCTGGGGTGGGGGTACCAGAAGACATGCATATGGTGGAGCAAAAAAAAAAAAAAAAACATTTCCCAGCCAGGTGTACAGGAGTTGGAGAAGTGATTGAAGATCTGTCTCACACAAAAAACTATTAGAATTACCTTCAGACACCATTTCTCATTTAAAGTATTAAAAATTTGCAAAATAACACACTTGTGATCAAAAGAGGGAAATTTATTAGAAATGCCAACAGGTTTGTCTTTTTTTTCTAATTAACCATGAAGAGTATTGAGATTTTATTTTATATATTTAAAAAAATTATAAATTATTCTGATCACTTGAGCATTTTATTGAGTTTAAGAGAATCTATCAGTTAAATCTGCATGTAGAAATCAATATGTTTCTGGACTCCAAATAAAACAAGATATAAGCAGAGAAATGGGATCCAGACAAAGAGGAGAGAACCAGAACGTTAGTCTCCTATCCTGTCCTGCCATGAGACAGATCTGACTCCCGTGACAACAGGGTGGGACTGCTGGCTGATCAGGTGAGGGGTGTGTACCTGCACTGAGCCCCCGTGCCTGTCCGCTGCCAGGTGGGAGGTCAGATAGGACGAGTTTGCCTGCCGTGTGGGCTGCACCTCCCATGCTCCTCGTCGATCTGAGACTGCTGTCTGCTCAGGGTTTGCGTTGTGAGGGGAGGTGGGTTTGGGGGTGCAATGGAGGGGTGGGGAGGGAGGATGGGTGAGGGAAATAATCGAATTAGGATGGATGGGCATTTTGGGTGTGCGTGTCAAGGTAACATGCAAAGCAGCGTGAGGAATGGAGAAGAAAAAATAAAAAATAAAAGCATGAATTAAAATCAAAGCAAGGCTTCAGGCAGAAGATTCAGAAACTAAAGAGCCTCAAGCCAAACGGACTTAAACTCGCTCAACTTAAACATCTATTTTATAAGCAGGTGACAGGAAAATCTAACATTACAAAAAATTAAGTACAATAAAAATGTAAAGTCATAAACTCAGATTATAACTGAAGTGAGACACCACTGTCCAAAATGTCTGTATAAAACTAAGGTCACAATAAAAATAATTTATCTTTCTAATAATTAAATTCAACAGTTTAAAGAGTAAAGTGTTTGTAGATTATTAATGTTTAAAATTTATTTTTGAGAAGAAAAGGCACAGATACTATAAGATTTTTTCTTCTTTCTGCCGCCTTTCATTTTATTTGTGATTTGTATTTTTTATTGTACATAAATTTAGTTATTTTTAAAGAAATTAATAAAGTTTAAAGAACGTAAAGAAGTTAACCAACTTTGTCTGATGTGTTATTTTATGGCGTCAGAGTAATCTTTGCTTTAGGTGAATTTTATCCCAATCAGCACAACAGACACAGTTGTGTATGCCTGTTGTCAGGAATGTGCTGTTTAATAATAATGATGCTGTTAATATTTTTTATAAGTCAAACTGGACTGAACAGGGAATGAAAGTGGGCCGTGTTGTTTTTGATCCAAGATATTCAAGCAGGTAAGTGTTAAACTGTGTTTAACAGTATTTTCTTGTTTTGTTTTATTGCTTGTCTGAGGCAGTCCAGATTAACGGAGCATTTTTATCCACTACCAGCCACAATGGTGGAGCAAGAGGGTGGCCAATGGTGGCCTTGCCCACCATAGATTAATCTTCAACTACCCCAGGTATTTGAAAAGTAAAAACAACACTTTTAAAAAAATATATAAAAACTAGAAAGCAGAGCTTCCTCAAAGGACCAAGGTGGCTGGTTTAAATGTACATATGATGGTGGCCATCTTGGATTCTGACATGAAAAACTCGTTTTTGAATGTGACTTTTCTAACGCCTAGCTGCAGCTACACACCAAAATGCTGTAAGTTTCTTATTTTTCAACTTATGCAGCTCCCAAGATGAAAGGACAGACAGAAAGTATTTCCTGTTCCCCTCTTCACTGTGATGGCAAATGAAGCAACTCAGACTGAAAACACTGTTGAATTAACTGAAGTTACAAATTCAAAAGAGAAAATGTACGAGATGAAACAGATTATTTTAGATAAATAATTTAAATACATAAAAATTATATAATAAAAAAAAACTTGTCTGTATCTATTGTTTTTTCCATGGGATAAATTGAAACTCATGTATTAACCCAATAAAAACATGTATATTATTTTATTGAGATCTTAAAGCAATGTGTTTTTTCATTTAAACCCTGAAGTGAAAGGTTAATCTCAAAGGGTTTTGAAGTTAACATTAGATAATATGAAGACCAGTCAAAAAAATTAAAAACTGTATATTTTCTACCCGCCTTAATCTGCATTTAATGTAAAAACTTGCAAAATTTTTGAACGACTGTCAGCTACCATCTGCATGTGTTTGCCTACTAAAACAGCCTAATTGAGTGGAAATAGGTCAACAAAGGCAACATTCATAGAAGAGCCATTGAGGATGAAGTGGTTCAACAATTTTGATGCATTGGTATGTATTTACACTAAGATTTGTTGAGTGAGCAGATAAACAAAAAAAAGTCTTTGATTTCAGATGCTGCATTTCAGAATAATGTGTATTTGAAAAATGAGGCTTTTTCAAACTGAACCCTTTGATCTAGTTCAAGATAACCATTATACTATTTGACTTTATAATTACCAATGAATATCGTTAAAGTATTATTCAATTTTGAGAGACTTTAAAAACAAAAGCTTTATTTATTGCTTAATTTGTTGTCAAAGTCTTTGGAGCAAAACATAAAAATAAACACACAAAATGACTGAAGAATGAAGTGTCAGGCTTCAACCCACAGTTTCCCTTTTACACACAAACATGTCAAAAAGCAACTAACTCTGACCGACCTGATTTCTTATTGGTTGGTGCTGTGCCGGTCTGTCCCGAGCAGGATGGCTGTCTCTTGTGACACCAGAAGCACCAGAATCTATATGAACAGACCCCACTGGTGTGGGCTGAAAGCAGTAATAGTTAGATTATATCTGTTTAGGAAGCTTTCAAACTGAGATAAAAATGTAACGGTAAACACGTCACTTACTATAGGCTTCCCAACCCAGTCGTAAGTGTAGTCAAAGGTGTATCCTTTCCTCTCAAAGAGCTCAGTAAACAGAGTCCTCAGGTATTCATAGTCAGGCTTTTCAAAAAAGTCTAACCGTCTCACATACCGCAAATAGGTAGCCATTTCCTCTGAGTGGATCAAAACAAAACGGATTAACTCACCATCCAGTAGGTAAATCTATTAGCAAATCATCATCATCATCATCATCAACATACCTGGAACGTCCTCGCAGAGGACCTCAATGGGAGTGTTTCGTTTTGTGTCTCCAATCTTCTGGTATCTTTCTTTCAAAGTGTCAGCCTGGAACAAATCCAGAAAAACAAGGGATTTTAAGAATTTGGACAACCATATAATAGATCTTTGTATTGAATTATATCTACTAGAACAGAGGAGCCCAAAGTGGGACCCGCGGGCTAAATTTGGCCCGCCAAGCCATTTGATTTGGCCCACCAACAGTTGCCAAAGTTACAATGTTGTAACCTATCATCCTATGTAGAAACACAGTGTTTCCATTGGTCAAATGACTGTATAAAAGGGCTRTAGTGAAGGTAGTTTTCATTCATGGTGCTGACCTTATCTTTGATTTATTAGGATTAAACATGAAACATGAAGTAACAACAAGAGATATTTAGATCAGATTTAACCCCACATGTAGATTTGCACACTTTATAAGGCCACAAAACTCATATTTTATCAATTTATAAAACGTCCCATGAGCCTTTGCTACTTGAGCGTATGGCAGACTTTCTCCAAGTGCACAGACAAAACAAAAGAGGGCCATTGCACAGCTTAATCGTTAAAAATAAAGGACTTTACTTWAAAAATATTTGTATTTCATGTATTATATTACTGTATTTGGCCAGCAGCCCCTGGATAGATTTTCATTTTGGCCCTCTCGGGGAAAATGTTTGGGCACCCCTGTACTAGAGTCTAGTAAAAAAACTCAAAATTTATAAATGATCTTTTTCCCCTTCAGAACTGTTAACTCGACAACTTATCAGGGAATCATCAACAACATTTGCTCAAACAACAATATTTTTCTGAGTATTGTGTGACGATACCTCTGCCGTCACTGAGTTGCACAACAAGAGGTTCCTGAATTGATTTGTATTTAATTTATTAATGATTTAATACTTTGTGGGCTGGATGGGATGAGTTCACAGGCTGGATATATCACAGGTGCTGCAAGTTGATGATAATTGCTCTACTCTATACCAACTATACTGTTGACTGGATAACTCAACAATCACCGTATTTATTCATGTATAATACGATCATCATTTTTTGAACTTAAAAAGCATCAAAAATCTAATTACTAATAACCCGTGTATAATACTACCCCCCTAATTTATGATGATTTTTAGGGTTAAATTTCTAGTATTATACATGAATAAATACAGTAATTCATTTTCAAATCACACCATCTCTGCTTTTCAGACAAATACTAAAAGCCAGATTTTAAATTTACTTTTGACTTGACAGATCATAGTTATAAAAACAATCTGTTTCTAATAGTTTAACTTTCGATTGTTCTTTACTTTACCTACTATTAGTGTTCCATTATTTTTTGTCTTTATAAAGCACTTTGAGCTTGAAGAGCTTTACAAATAAAGACTGGTTCTCTGGTACCTGTTGTAACTAATCTTTAGCTTTATCTGGTGAAAAGTGTGCAAATGAGGAAACAACAGTATCCACTTTTTATTTCCCTAGTATTCTTTCATCTACTGTTTAATGAGCTTTTTATGCCAATAACACAAAACATTTTGCTACATCGTAGTATTTGCTTCGACTACTTTTAAAGTTCTTCCTTGTTCTATCAGAGCTACAGAACAGCAAAGCAATTAAAAAAGACACTGAACGTAAGTTTCAAATTCATATGTTTCAAGTGTTAACATTTTAATTAACTATGGAAACTTTATGTTAAGGTAAAGACTGGATAACAGGAGACATTCTCAGGTGTGAACAGGTGAGATGAGATGTGCACTGGAGCTGCAACAGGAGGTGCGCCCACAGGAAGCATAGATGGAGGGTACGACAGAAATAATCGTTGACTAATCGAAAAAAAAAATAAATGGACAAATTAGTTGACTATAAAATAGTCATTAGTTGCAGACCTAATCCACACACACCAGTCCAGGTCTGGGCTGTATGCAGCCAAAGGCTTTTAGTGGGTGACCTGCAGCTCAAGTCCTAAATCAAGCAAGAATGGAAAAGCATTTAGATTTAGGAAMAACAGCTGCTTGTCTGCTCTTTTCTCAAAGGTTAATAGATTGCTCAATGAACAGAGCTGATGCAAAACAAACAGACTGTCACTTTTTTCAAGATTAAAGACCTAACGTTCCTTGAAGGGTTGCATATTGCCCACAGGCTTTCATGCCAGAGCCTCAAATTAAAACCATCTGATCATGAGGCCAGACTTCTTGTTGTTTCGGTTAAACCTTGTAAATTCTGTTATGCATATTACATTATATTATATAGATACAGTTTAACAATATTAAAATCTGTACTACTGCAGTAAATTTTACTTTTATTCACTATTTATTTTGAGASGGAGAGAACAAGGTTCTATGTTGAAATCTAGCAGCTAACAATTTTACATATATGAAATGATTCAAATGCTACATTTAATCATCAGCTCAGACATGTTTTAGACAACGTACTGCATTTCGTAACACGTTTATATACTTGGCATACCTTTAGTCCTTGCCAAGGTAGAGTCCCACGAAGGAAATACATGAACATGTGCCCTAAGGCCTCTAGGTCATCTCGTCGACTTTGCTCTGTTTGAATTGATTTGAAAACATCTCATTTAGAATCTTTAAGAATCAAGTGACATGAAAACAACTGTTCCAACATACAAAGAAAGCTGACATTGCTCTTACCTTTGCCTAAGTGTGTATTAATGGACATGTATCTGGCAGTACCAGTCAGGCTCTTGTGCTCCCGGTACGGAATGTGTTTTTTGGTCTCAGGGTCTATGTACTCTTTGGCCAGGCCAAAGTCAATGATGTGGATGATGTGCTCCTTGTTATTTCCTTGCCGTCCGATGAGAAAGTTTTCAGGCTTGACATCCCGATAGATGAGATTTTTTGAGTGCACATACTCCATTCTTGAAATCTGGAAAAAAGAAACCAAAAATTCAGCTAGCAAACATCACAAAACTACGAAATAGGGTACTTTTATGATGTTTAAATTTTTAAGTGTTCTGGCTGAAGAAACAAACAATGCATTGATGACATAAGTCAAGCTAACTGGCTGCTTCTAGTTAGCATCATTTCTTCACAAGGCTACTCAAAATAGTCTCAGCAGCTCTTTGTTGGTGTTGTTCACTGCGGCCAGCTGGTTAACGTGCCTGACCACAGAACAGTGGTTTTGTTTCTTACTCTGGTTTTGTGCTTCAGAATGTCCTGCTTGCTTCACTAGAATGATTTGAATGGAGGTTTATRCATTTAGTTTGACCTCACTCAATGTGAAGTTGTTGATCATCTGAGTGTTGCTAAACAAAAAGGAGCAACACTGGATCGTGGAGCCCATTTGTCTAGATTACAACAGCACGTGTATTCTGATGCCTAATGTGGTCGTTCAACCAATGAGCTCTTTTTAGGCCTCCTTAACTCTGGATTAAGAATCCACTGAGCTCTCCCTGATCTACATGTTTAATTACAAGGTGGCCGGATCACAGCAAATTTGGAAACTCTCCTTCAGTATGAAAGCAATCACAACAAAGTGCGCTCTCATTAGGATCTATCTATCAGCAGCACATTCAGAGGCCTGCCAGTCCTCTCTCTACTGTGACCAGCTGGTCTTCATAGAACACTTTCGCTTAATTTAATTTTTATTGTTTACATGTAGCAGCTCCTCCTGTGGCTCCTTTAGTCCAGACAGGAGCACTTATTGACAGATGCTGTGTGGGGCGTGTCCATATGACTCATTCTTCACATGTTGTATGGAGTGAATCAACTGAAAGGGGATTTAATGTTACACATGTAACTTGTGCTCCCTGAAAAAAGAAAGCTGTACATCTTTCTGCCCCACTGGGCTCAGTAAAGAGAGGCTATTTTAATCAGAATAACAGCAATAATGTATGTATTTAAGTGCAGGCAGCGTCTGTCACTTATCACAACATTTGACTAAAGGTATGATTACAGAGGTCTTCAGCTAGGACCAGCGAGGGCATGTGAAGAAACTAGTCTCTCTCTCAGGGAGCTGTAGTTACAGTAAATATATCAGGGATCTAGACTAGCTTTTTGCACTGGTGTGCCTAAAATTTTTCCTTAGGTGCACCAGTACAAAGGTTAGGTGCACCCAAATTTGCAAAGACATCACATTTAACATTGATGGTTTAATGGTTCACCTTTTTAAAATCATTGTCCATTAAGGCAGTATTAACTCACAAATAATTTGATAAAATAAATGAAATGAAATAAAGTCCAAATTCTAAGTGCAAATGTTTAAGGACATTTTATAAACATCTTAAACATTTTATGGTTAAATGTCTTTTAGATTACACCCGCCCCTCAGATGATCAACTCCTGTAGTTTGGCCTTCGGGATCTTTGGCCTCAGCTAGAACGGGGGATCAAACCGGCAACCCTCTGGTTACAGGACGACTCCCCTAACCACTCTACCACAGCCGCCCATTACGACTGCTCTTGTTAAAGCATCAGAGGTTTATATTTGTTATTTGACAGGTGGACTGAAAGGTGATGTTAAAAGACAAACTAGTTTTTATCCTCCAAGTGGTTTAACCTGTATTCATTTCTTTTTAAAGTGTTATCTTATCTGGCAGCAAAGCAACTTTTTTTTTAGATGCAAGATAAAATTCTTTAAAATAATAAATACACACAATTTAGTCTTGTGATAGTCTGATTTGAACCCACCAGCTGGATTGCTATCATCAGGGTCGTCTTTAATGAAAAGGTCCTGGCACAAAGATCAAAGAGGTCTTCTAGACTTGGGCCTAGCAGCTCCATGACCATGGCGTTGTATTTCCCACATGGCCCAAAGTAATACACCTGAGGCACTCCCTCTGCTGAAACACACAAAGAAAGACAGAAACAAGACTTAACAAGCTGCATTTGTTCAAATAATCCATATTTTTTAAATAGTTTCTGYCCATCGTCGAAGGCAAAGAACTGATCAAGGTTTGTCTGTGCTTGTGTGTGGAYGTGTTTGTAGATTTGGCTAAATATTACACAAACCAGTGGATGGACTTTAATGAAACTCTCAAAGTAATCTTTGGATGTACATCTACGACTGATTAACTTTTGGAATCACCACAATTCAAGATGGAAGCTACCTTTGCAAACACAAAAGTAGCAAAAATTCAGCCTTTTTTTCCTAATATCAGGTTTTAGTTAAAATTTAGCTGTAATTCCCAACATACTTTTACAGCAAACATCTCACACAATATGACAATACTGCATGAGAGTGCACATAAACATCTTATATGGTTTTACCAAAATGACTTTAGCATCTTTTCTTCTCAGCACAATAGTGATTTTAGTCTAAAACTCTGTCATGAARGGTGTCGGGCAATATCCTWCAAAGAATTATAGTTTTTTTAATTTATGTGTTCAAAAAGTTTCCAATACATTACCATTGTTAACTTAAATGCTAAACAGAAGAATAAGTCCTAATAAGAATAGTGCTTCAGTTATACTGTAGCATTGTCAAAAAATTATTTCACTTAAATCTCATATTTCCCAACACAGTCATATCCTGTCAGCTCCACAGGCACTAACTTCCACCAGTCCTTTCATCCATTATTCTAGTCCTTATTTTATCTCCTGTTTATGTGGTGTTTCATTAAGAGTCTAATGCAGCTGTAGTATCGGTAAGGCTTTGTTTGGGTACTTAGTCATGCTGGTGATCTGAAAATTAAGCTTCAAAGTGTAAACGTCTGGGATGAAAGTAGTTTTCACAAATTATTGATCTACTGCTGAAAACATTTACAGATWACAGATCTATAACAACTACAAGTATTTATTTAAATTCTAACCATTAAGCATAACATCCATAGTCTGATGTCATTCTGAGTGCATCCCGAGCTTTAGTTTCAAAGAACAGGAAATCAGGTCAAACTTAAATTGCCTTCAAGGAACTATGACTCAAAATTGGTTTCCACTTACTTCTAGTCAGTTCTACTGCCTTTTAAGACAAAAAAACCCTTCAATATATAGTCCTTGTTTCATCTAACTAATATACAAGGTTTCGCTCAGTCTTTAAAAACATAAAACTACATAAAAGTAAAAATAAAAAAAGAGACTTTCATTTCTTAAGTGTTCAGAAAACTAACATGACAGAAAAGAATAAAGTAGGTTAAAAAAAAGTTGGGCAATGTTATATCTCCTTTATTACATTTTGGTTATGTTTTTATCTCCATTTTCTTATAGGCAAATAATGTGACAGAAATCTTGTCAAAGGATTCCTCACAACAATTTAATGCAGTTCTTACTGATAATAGCCCTAAACATGCTGCTTACTGATGATTTTATGTCTAAAAATATAATAGATAAAGAGCTTTGTGATATTTATTTTGTCATGCTGGGCTTGGCACTTTAAAGTTGTATTTTGCATCTACCCTGCTATGTCTTCACTCAAAAACTCCAGATTTCCTAACAACCCAGGTAGTTCAGACAGTTGTATGTTTTAACATTTTAAACTGTTTTACTGCAAAGATTTTGAAATAAACATAAAAAGAGTCAAATTTTCATTTACCACCATATGGGCCTGGGCAAAAAAATAATTTGAAATCACATTCTCAAATACACATAATCTTTGTTTTAATAAATGGCGATTTACATGTACACATGTGGAAAAAAAATTGTTGGTACCCCTCGTTTAATGATAGAAAACATCACAACGGTCACAGAAATAACTGGAATCTGACAAAAGTAATAAATAAAAATTCTATAAAAATGAACAAATTGAAGTCTGACATTTCAGCCATGCTTCGACATTTTCTTTTTTTGTTAAATAAACCCAAGAAACAGTTCTGGACAGAAATCATGGTACCCTTAATTTAATATTTTGTTGTACAATCTTTTGAGACARTCACTGCAACAAACGATTCCTGTAACTGTCAGTGAGACTTCTGCAGTCTTTTCCAGACAACATGTTTCAGCTGCTTCCAAAGATGCTCAACAGGATTTAGGTCAGGGTTCATAGAAGGCCACTTCAGAATAGTCCAGTGTTTTCCTCTCAGACATTCTTGGCTGTTTTTAGCTGTTTTGGATCATTATCCTGTTGTAAGATCTATGAGCTGCGACTGAGACCAAGCTTTCTGACACTGGGCAGCATTTTTCTCTCTACGGTGTATTCACACCCGACACATTTGTTCCGCTTTAAAYGAACCAGAGTTTGTTTCCAGCGTTGGTCCGGACGTTTTGTGCAGGTGTGAATTCACTCATGCGAACTCTGGTGCGGATCAAATAACCGGACCGAGACCTGCTTTTTGAGGTGGTCTCGGTCCGCTTCCAAACGAACTCTGGTGCTTCGCTTCAGTTCGCTTCTGGTGTGAATACCGACCGGACTCGAAACAAACCAACTGCATAAAACGTGTCTTTTTGGACTTCACAGGCCATCATTGCTGAGCTAAATAAACTGAAATCATACCTGTTTCGTCGTCTCCTGTTAGCAGCTCTGCTGCCGGCATATTGTGGGTCAGAACACACAGAGCACCTTGTCTCCTTTGGGTTGCAGGACACACTTACTGACGTCACTCCAAAATTAGAATATCATCACGAAGCCACCATTAAATTAGCTGTTTTTTATATTTTAAATGCTATTGCAGTTGTACTATCAGCAAAAATGTGCGCATCAGAACAGCAGCACGCAGAAAATCCATGTTTTTTTTTGGGTCTGTGGCTCAGTCCCGCCCCCGTCCTTTCTGTCCAATGGGAGCAATGATCGTCAGCCTGATGGCTTTGTTTACAAGTTATAGTTCGTTTGCAGAAAAGCACAATGTGAATGCAAACTGCACCAAACGAAAAAAATAAAGTCCACTTTTGGTCTGGACCAAACAAGCGGACCAAATGACTTTCCTGATGTGAATACATCCTAGAATGCCTTGATAGTCTTGAGATTTCATTGTACCCTGCATAGATTCAGGACTCCCTGTGCCAGACGCAGCCCCAGAACATAACAGAGCCTCCTCCATGTTTCACAGTAGGGACAGTGTTCTTTTGTGTGTGTTTCATTTTTCCCTCTGTGAACATAGAGCTGATGTGTCTTGCTAAAAAGTTTCATTTTTGTCTCATCTGTCCAGAGGACATTGTCCAAGAAGCTTTGTGGTTTGTCAACATGTAGATTGGCAAATTCCAGTCAGGCTTTTTATGATTTGGTGTCCTCCTTGGTCGTCTCCCATCAAGTCCACTTTGGCTCAAGCGACGAATGGTGCGATCTGACACTAAAGGTGAACTTCAAGCTCAAGGAACATCAATCTCTTTAGAGGTTTTTCTGAGCTCTTTTATTACCACTCGTATTATTCGTCTCTTTGATTTGTCATCAATTTTCCTCCTGTTGCATCCAGGGAGGTTGGCTACAGTCTCATGGATCTTAAATTTCTGAATAATATGTGCAGCTGTAGTCACAGGAACATCAAGCTGCTTGGAGATGGTCTCATAACCTTTACCTTTAACATGCTTGTCTATAATTTTCTTTCTAATCTCCTGAGACAACTCTTTCCTTCACTTCCTCTGGTCCASGTTGAGTGTGGTCCACACCATGTCACCTAACAGCACAGTGAGTAACTGTAGCTCTATATACAGGCCCACTGACTGATTACAAGACTGTAGACACCTGTGATGACATTTAGTGGACACACCTTGATTTAACATGACCTTGGGTCACATTTTATTCAGGGATACCATCATTTCTGTTCAGAACTGTTTTATGAGTGGGGCGGCTGTGGCGGAGTGGTTAGGGGAGTCGTCCTGGAACCAGAAGGTCACTGGTTCGATCCCCCGTCCAGCCATCTCAGTCGTTGTGTCCTTGGGCAAGACACTTCACCCACCTTGCCTACTGATGGTGGTCAGAGGGTCCGGTGGCGCCGATGCATGGTAGCCCCACCTCTGTCAGTGTGCCCCAGGGCAGCTGTGGCTACAGTGTAGTTTGCCATCATCAGTGTGTGAATGTGAATGTGAGTGTGAATGGGTGAATGTCTGTTAGTGTAAAGCGCTTTGGGGTCCGGAGGGACTTGAAAAGCGCTCTAGAAGTTCAGTACCATTTGCCATTTACCATGACTTATTTTTGTTTGTTTGTTTTTAATTCTGTTGAAGCATGGTTAAAAAAGCAATGTCTGATTTTCATTTGTTCGTTTTTATAGAATTTTTATTTATTATTATTTTTGTTAGATTCTAGTTATTTCTGTGACCATTGTGGGGTTTTTCTTTCATTCAACGAGGGGTACCAGGTGTCTATGTATTTATTCAGCATTAGATCACCCTGGACTCACCTGTGCACTTCTCTCATTTTACAACAATCCCAGACACTGAAGCAGTCATGTATATGTTGATCATCAGAAAGTTCCTAAAAAGGCTTGAAAAGAGGGTGGGGCTATTTCTGTGTCTTAAACTCTACAAAAACACTGCTCTCAGGTTCCATAAATCCTTTTTTAACTCAAACCAAACTGCACACAGAGTAGTGTTTGCTTCTTAGAATTGCAGTGGCTATGGAGTTGGTGTAGAGTTTCATGATGAGACCTGCCAGACAATAACTTTATTAGCTCAGCGGTGCCAACCCTTGTAGTAACAGCTTTCATTTTCAAACATGGCTTTTACTTTGCAAAATAATCATCTAAGTAAAACAGCTTCTTAACTCTCTTTAAAATGGAAAAAAGAGAAAAAAAAGGAGACTTGTGGGTCCCAATAGAATAATTTCCATTAATATTCAGTGACGGTTGGTCATGCATCAGAAAACAACACCTGACTGAGCATCTGAGTCAAGCCACATGAATTCATAAAAACACTGTTTCACAGACACTAACAACATCATTGGCTGAAAGGAATGTGGCACAGCACACAGCCAAGA